AGACATACTTAGTGAATAAAACAATTTCCCGCCCATTATACGAGTGTTTTTTGACATGGATTATGTGTTAGCGTTTTATTAATTGGCCATAGGTTTGTACTTGGCACATTAACACATACATCCGCCTTGACGCTAATGGCTGAGCTCTTCTCTACATGCCTAAAACCTCACCGCAAGCTTTGGTGTGGTTGCTCTACATGCAGAAGGAGGAAGAGTGTGCATGGTGGGCTGGTTACAGTAGGTCTCACTGGAGGGGGGGACGAGGCAATCATTTGGTACTCTTTATGAACCATTCTGATTCCTATTAAGAACACACACACACTCTTTTGGCATGTTGGCTCACCATCTCTTTCCATCCTTTTCGCTGCTTCCTGCTAAGCAGCATCCCCCCGTGCTCCGTCCTTTTATCGGGGCCATCAAATCTCACACGTAATTAACAGGAAATGCGAACGAGGAAGCTTAATGTCTCGTAAAGTCAAAAGACAAACATTTTATCGTTGTTTAAGAACTGACTTCAAATCCACCAGCTCAATTAAAAAGGAATAAAGACGCCGCGTTTATTTGGAAAAAAAGTCGATTGGAAAATGTAATTATTGTAATCCGTGCTAATGAAACCTGTTTGATGGTTAGAGCTTCATGGCAGGGAGCAAGCAGACCACGCTTCTTTAATCCTTTTGACGTATACGTCTGTCTTTTGTGTGTGTTCATAGAGATGTTATTTTACAGCAGCAAAATCTCTGCAGTATCAGTGTATACTGTCTGTTACAAGAATATTTAACCCTTTCAGCTAATAATTATTCTTTTTTTTTTTTTTCTCTTTTTGTCAGGTAATCAAGTTTAGCATTTAAAGGGGCTTTACAAATGGTAATGGCCACTGGAAATCACTTGAATGATTTTTACCTCCTTTTTCCTCAGTTTGGCGGGTTTAGTTTGTTTGTTTCTGTTGGAAGGATTACTTCCAAGGGACTTAGTTAGAGGTGATTAACTTTTGGAGTCAGTCAAGATCTGGCTCCAGAAATTAGTACCAGGATTTTGTACCATTGTGAGCAGAATTGTACATTTAATATCAGCTCTACATACATATCAAATAGGAAGACGCCTTGATGTCCTAGATATTCTTTTTGATCTAGAAACTCAGCTTGTACATGGCACAGAGAGAGACCTCAGAGCCTCTGGCAGAGGTATGAAGTATCAGACTTCCCCTGCATGGTTTTCACTGGGTATTTGGAAACTGTAAGCTTGCTTATTTTTTAAAAAAATTTGTGTTTTTATTTTAGTTTTTTTTCTCACGTGTTTTGCTTACTGTTGAATACTCTGTGTTTGAGTCCTGGAGGCAAAGCTGTTCCACAGAGATGACTCAGAAAGAGAATATTTTCTTCCTCTTACCTCTGACATCCACAGGCGTTGAACGCTAGAGAGACTGAGTAATGAAGCCGAGAGACCGAGTAACAAAGCTGACTTGCTAAGAGGATGACTCAGGTGGCTCAGAGAGGCAGTGCTCAGTTGAGTTGTGTACAGACACCCCCTAGTGGTCGACAATATTCATAGCCCACAATAAGGATCCTGCTATAACAAATGTGCTCCTAGATGGTGTTGCATTGAAACAGTACTCACATACACAGTGAAGATCAACAGTTCCCATTACAATCAAGCTTGCTTAGCTTTCTTTCTTTCTTATCTCTTTGCGTCACTGAAAAACATTTCAACATATTTGTTTTATTTGGCTACTGACAGCCTGATTTAGTTTGATGTTTGACTCACGTGCACACACACACACACACACACACACTAATGCACACACACATTCATCTCCCTGAAAAGCCCCGTGGAGGTTTTTGGTTGTGGCATGTTCGTTGGGTCGGCAGGGAGAAACCCGTTGTGTGAGTGTATAATTAAAGTGTCATCGTGCTGTTCCCTCACACCTTGGATGTATGATTGATAGCTGCTTTGCCTGTGATTATTTTATAACAGCACTCATCTGTTGGAATGCCACACCATACCTAACCAAGTGTCAGTCAACTTCACTCTGCAATTAGCAAAATTATTTATGTCTGTTCTCTCTTAAGCAAATACACATGACCACACGAACAAACCTGGCTGGAGTCCCATCGCAGTCCCGCTTCTCACTCAGATGCTGTTGGGGGTGGAAGGAATGTTCTTGGCAGCAAGATTTCACGTTGACAATTACCATTTGTTTGGAGCGGCATTATACGCAGCGTAATGTGGTTGATACGGCACACACTGCAATTACGTTTCGGTGCAACAACATTATCAAATCTGAAAGCCCGACAAACGTTTTGAGTAGCTCGGGTGATTTACTGTCGTCACCTGAAGCTTCTGTGTTTTGTTTTTGTTGACTGTTTTTTTGTACTTGAAAGTCATTTAATGATTTAATCAGTTAAAAGTCATTTATTTTAACATTTTCCTACAGAAATAGTTTTTTAAAAACTTGGCTCATTAAAAAGAAAATCAGCAAGTGTTGCCTGTTGATCATCTAAGTGTGATATTCTTTGGTTAACTCTTCTTTTTTTTTTCTCTTTTTGTTTTGTCTTTTAAGAAAACAAAACGTCCTGCACTTCCACAGGTAGTTGAGTTCACCGCAGCTGAACCGTAGTTATGTAATGTCACAATAATACATCGCGTACTTATGAGTACGAGTTACAGCGAGGTATGCGTGTGCACGTGTGTCCAAGACGGGGCGCGTGCGCGGCTGTATGTGACAGATTTACAATGCACGGAGCTGAATTGGGACGGGCACGACGACCTTTCATCATCTGTCTTCTAACAACACGTGAAATCCAGGGAATTACATTTCCCTTCTCATTTTCTGTAAAATTTTCACCTTATTTGTATCCACGCTCCCGCTTCCCTCGCCTTTTTTCACCCCCATTTCTTTGTGGGCTAGTCTCTGCAGCCCCCACGAGCCCACGATTGTATGCAGACGAGCCCCCCTTGCCCTCCCACCCTTTTCTCACACCTTTGCTGGCCCTCTTTTTTGTGGGTCCAAAAGGGGCAGGAACTGAGGGGAAGGAGTGAAAGGGGGAGGAGGTGTGTGGAGAAATGAGGGGTTTTAAATGTTTCCATTCTTGCTTTGAACATTGGATGTAGTCCTCCAGAATGCTTCATCAAGCATCTTTTCAAATCAGATCTAACGATTAACACATGTTTGCTGGAAAATTTGGCCTTCTTCAGCGTGATTTGAACTGCAGCACACAACTTTTACACTGTGGGATCGTTTGTTTATTTTTGTTTTTAATGTCTCCTCAGGTGGGTTGGAGCACAGCCAGAGATTACTACACCTTCGTTTGGTCTCCTATGCCTGAAAACTATGAACCAGGAAGTACTGTGCACAGGGCTGTGGTGTTTCAAGGTACAGCGCACACACGCATGCACACTTACATACTATTTAAACCACTATACAAACCCAGGGTATTCCAAAGTTACTCCTCCATTTTACAGTGCATATAAAAACCAGCACTTTTATTTAATAAGGGAACACGACCGCAAACTGAGGCCTGGGACCTGAGCACCTCTCAAACCACACACAGACACACACATACACAGACAGTTGAGGGCCTGCAAACTGGTTTTACTGGGCCTGGAACGGTCAGACATTACACAGTGAAAATATGAGAGCATGCTGCGGTGTGTCAGGAGTCAGTAAAACCGGTTGGCTTCTGGATATTCCTCTACTGCCCTAGAGGACCAGGGCTCACACTTGAATAATGTGCTTCAGTTAGTTTCCAGTGTAACCTTGGAATGCTCGAACCCAGCATATGTAATGTATTTTCTAGCTAAATCCTCTGCATAAGTCTTCTCAATGCTGGCGATTTTTTCTTTCTCTGCTTTGAAGCAGAACAGTTGGATGGATATTTGGGGTGATATTGTAAATATAGGCAGTCTAGAACAGTTTTGAGCAGGTTTGGTCTATAAAAGAACCCATTATGTTAATTTCCAGCTGCGTGTTTTTATTCTTGGTCTATAAAGAAGGAGCTTTGCATGATTCACAGTTTAAGTTCTTCGTGCTGCACCTGACACTTAAGCTTTTATTTCAGGAGATATATGTGTATATGTGAACGATTATAAGGAAGGACACAACATGCCCCCCTTACGTGCCAACATTACGTTCTTTTTTCTTTGCTGTGCAGGTTATTATGTTCCTAAATCTGATGGAGAGTTTTACCAGTTCTGTTACGTCACTCACGCTGGTGATATCAGAGGAGCCAGCACACCCTTCCAGTTCAGGTCAGCCACGCCCACCGAAGAGCTGCTGACTGTTACTGAGGATGACAGCAACTCCGACATACTGGTCGTCACCACCAAAACGGGCCTGCTAGAGGTAGAATGCACAAAATGTTATTATTTCTTTATTTCCCCAGTTTTCTTAATCCCTCTGGTCTTGAGTCACCAAACATCGATCTGCAGTGTAACTGACTATAGAATCAGCACTCTAAAAAAAATGAGAGGTAAATGTAATAAATTGCAGAAGACCAGAAGATAAACGTGACCAAAAATCCCCTTCAAATTGAGTCGATCTGATTTTTTTTCTGCTTCTCCTTCTGCCTGTTAGCGTGTGGAGGAAGCACAGCAGGAGCGCAGGGAACTGCTGAAAGCTATGCGTCTCCTGCAAGAGGAGAAGCAACAGTTGCAGGAGGAGCAGAAGCGACTGGCCAGGGAAAGGGAGCAGGAGAGAGAGACGTGCTGCCTGCTGCGGACACATAACCAGGTTAGAGGTAGTGGGCTAAGTTTTGAATAGTACAGGATCCCACGGAGGGGGAGGGAAACCTGTAGGGGCAGTTGTGGCTCAGGAGGTAGAGTGGGCCGTCCACTAATCAGAAGGTTGGTGGTGCAATCCCCAGCTCCTGCAGTCCGCTGATGCATTCATTGTGCATGAATGTCAGACAAGGAGCTTAGGCCTAGAATAAAGTCAGAATGTGTGTGTGTGAGTAAGTGAAAAGGGGCTCATAGTAAAAAAGCACTTTGAGTTCTCAATTAGGAGTAGAAAACTCCTGTATAAGTGTCCATCCCAATTAATGAATCTAAAAATAAATAACTGGTATTTCTCGTTTTTTCTTTTCGTTTTTTTAATTTTTTTTAATTGCAGTTAAATTTGGAATGTTCCCAGCCTTAAAATAGCCCACAGGTTTTTATCCAGTTGTGGCATGACAGGCCTACGTCAGCAATGTTGGATTAGCCCCGTAGCCTACATCTCTCATCTGCTTGTTGTCATCGCCAACAATGATGAACTTGTTTTAATGTCCGATGGTAACCTCAGCCAACCCACAAACCAAGCAATTAATATTCCTAATGTTAAGTAACAGAGCTCATTCTGTCTTCAGTTTAAAAGTCAGAAGTTTTATTTAGAATGGTATTTAAAAAATCCGAAGTCTTCACTCGCCCTAAGCCCCGTAGTAGCAAAAATATTTGGGAATACTCAATAGAGTTCAAATGTCCGTACATGGATAAAATAAATAAAGACGGTAAAGGTATATATGCAACCTTGAGACTGAAGAGAGTTAAGACAGTTTTGGTGTGTGTGTGTAGTTGTATTTAGTGTATGGGTGTGTACAGGTGAGTGTGTAGATGGACACAGGCTTGGAGCCAGTTCCTCACCAGTGATCATAGGTCTGAAAACTTCAAAGGGCTAAATTTATGTATAATCTGTTTCCATGTTTGACAGACACACAAAAAGCTGCTCAGTGTGTGTGTGTGTTTGTGCATGTGTTTGTGTGTGTGTGTCTTTTTCTCCCTCTTTAACGACCTGACTCAGTGGGCCAGAACGGAATTGGGACACAGTTTTTCTTGGGCATCTGGCGTCAGGGACGATGCCATCGCAACCACAGAGTGAACAAACATGACGTCAAACGCACACACACACCCACGTGCATGCGCCTGCACAAACCCCCGTCCCCCCCGTCCCCTTACGCTGTCACATTCACATTCAGGTTCTACACAACAGGGCCCCTTTAATGTGCATTTACACATGCACAAGCATGCATGCACACACACACACACAAACGCACTCATTATGCCACCCGCTTGCAAACCCTTTTAGTCTGTGTGTGGAATGAGAGGAGGGTAGTCCGCAAAACCGCCTGTCTGAAAAAAGAGCCCTGCCCAGCCTGAGGGACAAACACCACTCAGTCACGCGATGCAGTGGCCACTGCTTTCTCACTGTCTTATTTTCTTCCCTCTCGCTTTTTTTTCTCTCTCCCTCAGAGTTTCTTAATTGGCATGACGAGGAAATAAATTTTTAATCCAAGTTAAAATGATACGTTTAGAAAAATCTGTCAAAATGAATAAAGTAAAAAAATAAAAAACGGTAAACCTCTACACCCAGTTCGTCCGCTATGTCCCTCACACCTTCTTCACTCACTCACTCACCAGGATGAGTCACATTTTAGCATTTTATGAGATTCTCATTTGATAAGCAGTAGCTTGGCACACATGCCCAAAAACAGTCACCTCAAGCTAGCTCAATAAAAGTAGGAGAGGGTAGTTGGCAGAGAGAAGTGAAACCCAGAAAGTTGCCAGGTTTTTCTGAGCTTGAAGCCAGTCTCTTATCGCCCCCTAGTGCAGCTTCCTGGTGTAAGTCCACAGGCTGCTTTGAGTTAGTCTGTTGCTCCTTTTTTTCCCCCTTTTTTCTTTCTTTTTTTTTTTTTTTTATGAAGGACAAAATCGCCATAAATTACACACACACGCTCTGTTATTACCATGCTGCTTTTCATTCAACAGGCATGTCCATCTGCAGATATACGACCTGTGTGTATAGGGGTGTGTGTGTCATTTGTAAAACATTTACAGTAGGTGCGTTAGCTCGTGGCTCTCTGATGAAAATATCCTTTGAGTTTCTTAACGTGAAAACATAAGTACATATTTTGTGGCTGCTAATTTTACGACTATACTTTTTATAAGGTCTTTACGCACTGCTAAAGTGCTTCCCAAACGCCAGCCGTAAAAATCATACAGTAATCTATGCAGAGCCAAGCCCAGAGGGAGACGGGCCTGAGTATGCGTTGGAGTGTGCATGTGCACTCTGTCTGTCTCTTGTATGTCCTTGACTGTGTAGCTGTGTGTCTGTCTTTCCTAGTGTGTGAAAGAGAATGGGTGTGTTAAGGGCTCATACTACAAAATAAAGTAAGGGTGTGTGCACAGGTATGTTGTCCTGTCACGACCAATATTAACTATGCATGATTTAATGTCGTTCACTGCTAATTCGCAGCAAGTTCAAACAAGGTATTTCCTCTGCAGGCACACCACACGGAGAAAACAAAACTGATATCATGTGTTGTTTGATAGCAGTAAATTGTTTTGTACTTCCACTACAGAATGCTACTGAACATTTTTTTGGAATCTATATAGTTATTCTGTGCTTTGTGTCCAACAAAAGACTTAATGAGTCATAACTTGTAACCAGTTATTTATGAGTGATGAGATAAGGCTTTATTGAACCCCTAGAGGGGAATTCACATGTTACAGCTGCACTAGAAATATGCCGTAGAGGTCGAGAACAGTAATAAATAATTAAGTACAATTGTGGTCAGAAGTTTACATACAGTCATCGTGGGCACAAATGCAATGTTAATTTGGGGCTTTTAATGATTTCTTTCAACTTTTTACAGGATGGCATGGTTGCATAGTTTAGATCTTTAATGACAAACAAGAATTGGATACACAAGTTGCACAGACTAAAAAAACTTTTAATATTTGGTTAAATATAGTATTATTTATATAGTATAAGTATTATTTGTCCCTTAACAAATAATACCTCCATCAGACTTTTTTTCTGGCATAATTCAGATTAATATTTGACCACTCTTCCTGGAAAAGTTTCATTTAATTCGGCTGGCTTCCTGGCACGGATCTGGCATTTAAGCATAGTCCAAGAGTTTTCAGTGGGATTGAGATCAGGACTTGTGGGAGGCTATTCCATAAATTTAATACAATCCAAAACCAGTTTTGATGTGTGTTTGAGATCATTGTTCCATTGCAACACCCATGTGTCCAAGTTGAAGAACTTGAAGGTACTCCTCTTTCATTATACCATCCATTCTATGCAGTGTACCAGTATGACTGGCAGGAAACCAGCAACCGAGCATGATGTTACCACTACCATGCTTGACAGTTGGTACAGCATTCTTAGGTTTGAAAGCCTCATCTTTATTCCTCCAGTAATCTATCTTGTCTATCTTTGTTTTGTGTGAGCATAAAAGTCACATGAGACGATGAAGGCATTATGTGACATTAGTCCATGTGGGCAGCAACAAATTTCAGTCAAGTTTGAAGGTGTCAGTTTTGGAGCAGAGGATTCTTTCTTGGTCAGCACCCTCTAAGTCTATGCTAATGTAAAACTTGCTTCACTGTGGACAGTGGTGATTTGTGTTTCCTGGGTTGATCCTGAACATCCTAACAAAATTCCTCTCATCTGAGGGTGATAGTTCCAAACCTTGGTAAAGACACAGCTGAGTTACATACAGTTGTTTGAGCTGATGCTCTTGAAATCTGTAGTTCTTTGCAAATGTCTCCCAAAGACCCTCCCAACTTGTGTAAATTTAGACTTCCCTCTCTTCACTGAGTTCCTTGGACTTTCCCATTGTTCTAACTAACGATCAGTCCAATATGTGCTGTCAAATAAATGCTTTTTATGGCGAACTGAAGCTACAATTTGTTGTCAAGATGATGCAGAACCTTCAGTACCACTTCACAAAAGATTTAAGTGAATGTATGTATATATTTGAGCTTGTATGTATACTTTTGACATGTTTGAGAGAAGTATTGGGGAAAATCCAAAATAAATTAAAACTTTTACACCCAATTCTTGTTTTTAAAGTCCTTAAAGATCCTGGACAGTTAAAGAAAATCACAAAAAGTCCATAATTACCATGATGTTTATGGCCAAGAGGTGTGTTTTGTGTGTGTTTAAGCTTCTGACCACAACTTTTGATTTAAAAAAATATATATATTTTTGCTGTACAAATGATAAGAAATATATAGAGACAGTAGTATTTGAAATATAGTGAATGGGTTTGGCAGGGCTATAATAGAGCTCTTCAGCTACTGAGATTGACTGTAGTGGCTGTCAGGCTGATGTACAGCTACCTCTCTGGCCCGCAGGAGCTGCTGCGTTCTTCACAGGGCCTGTCAGAAGAGAGGGAGGAGGTAAGGCGGAGGCTGACAGAGGCTACGGACCGGGTACGCCAGCTAGAGGAGGACCTGCTGGGAGTCACTCAGAGGGGCCTGCAAAAGGAGACAGAGCTGGATTGGTGAGTGAAGAATGGCAACATGTAACCATCAGTCATCCATTTGAAGACAGACTGTTTGCATAAATCTAAGCGAGCTTAACATCAGCCTCACAGATGTGGAATATGTGTAGAATAGTTTTGCATGCATGTTTACTTCCCAGGTTTAAACACGCCTACAAAATTGTGCCAGATGCTGCACAGGAATATGTCAGCCTGGCTTTAACATATTTCACTGGCATCTGATGGCTCTCATTTGATATTTTCTGGCCTTATACACACACAGATTATACCCATCAGTATAGCCATGTTTAAGGTGTCCACTTAATCACTAAATAGCTTTTTGTAAGAAAAACTTTAGATTTAGAATATGAGACACAAGAAAGCACTAAAGAAGTTGTTTTTCAATATGTCTTTCAGTCTGCGTGATCGCTTAAAGAAGTTGACAGCAGAGAGAGACAGTCTGGAGAGCCAGCTGAAGAATGAGAAGGATGAGCGAGATCTTTATAAGGTGAAGAAGTGTTTTACAGGAAAGACTGACTTTTTTTTTTTTTTTGTAGCAGCCGAGGGTGTGTTTTTGTCTGCATTCCTACTTGACCCATTCTGTTTAACTGTTTCGCCATATGTGTAGGCCCACCTGCGCAGCACAGAACTGGAGAACACTAAGCTGAGCGCAGAGCTTCAGATGCTAAAGGCGGTGGAGCTGAACCGGGAGGTGACCATCGCTCAGTTCCAAGAGGAGCTGGAGAGGCTCAGGGCCTGCGTTGCACAGAGAGACAGCCTGGAGAAAGAGCTGCTGGCACACAAAGCTGACAAAGTAAAAGTGCTTGTGCATATTATTGCTGGCAACACTAAAATAGTACTCAAAATGTAAACAAAAGTGTCCACTAATCGCAGGGTTAGCATTTTGATGGTATAGCTTTAGTAAACTCAGTTGCACTATATTTAAATTTCTTCTTTCTGTCTTTAGGCAGAGCTGGCCCGTGTACGTGAGCAGCTCCGTCAGGCTGAGGAGCAGCTCCAGGCATCCCGGCAGCAGGCCTCTCTGCTAGCCTCGGAGCTGCGTGACTCAGCCAGTACTCGCGACCACACGATGACCGAGCTTTACCGCGCCCGCTTAGAGGCCGACAAGCTCCGTGCCAGTTTAGCTGATGCCCAGGCAGAGTGCCAACGCATGGAGAGCCAGCTTGACCGCATGAGGAGCACTGCACAGAAGGAAGTGGTCAGTGGTCGACTTCCTTAATATCTGTCCCTGTGTTTAGGGAAAAGAAGTTTAGGGAAATTTAGTTAAACATGGAAAGGAATTTTCACACTTTTCAGTTTTATTTAGATGGATGATTTTTATATGAGAGCTCAGGACAACCGATTTAAGCAAGAGAAATTTGAGCTGTTTACCATTTTAACAAAGAACACAGTTCAAAGAAGATTTTGGAGTTGAGCCTTTTTTGTTTGTTTATAATTTCTTGCTGAACAGTTTGAACTGTGTTAGATTACAAAGCTCCTGCTTTGTAGAACTCAGTTGTTCTGAGTCTCAAATATTTGTTATATTATAATGGAGTTAAATAAATTCGCAAATACTTTTTTTGGTTTGTTTTTATTTAATCATTTTTTAACACTGTGTGTTCAGGGTGTTGGGACCAATGGGGACATGACACCCAGCATGATTGTGGTGTCAGAGGCAGAGGCTGAGCTGCAGAGGGAAGTGGAGGAGCTGAAGCTGCGTCTGCACATGGCTGCTGAGCACTATAAGGAGAAGTACCGGGAGTGTCAGCGCCTCCGCAGACAGGTGGCCAAACTGAACACAGCGGAGTCCCAAGGGGTGAGTAATTTTTAGCAATGCTCATCAGGCTGAAAAGAAACATTTTGTTCAGTTCCATATGTGCCTAAACCAGCAAAATTGCATTTCATTGATGTGTATATCTTTGCAGGAGCCAAAGAGAAATGCATCTACTGAGACAACACTGGAGCCACTGACCCCTAGTCCAGAGTCACCAACAGGAGGTACATACATTCAGATAAAGGGCATATTCCATCTGTCCATTTTCTGCCATTTATCCAGGTCTAGGTTGGGGAGACAGCAAAGACGCCAAGACCTCCTTCTCCCCAGCCTCCTTCTTCAGTCAAGAGATGTAATTTCTCTAGCATTTCTGGTTGACCACTTCAACTGCCTCCTTTCAATGTGGAAGAGTAGCAGCTCAGTCATTCTGAGTGAATGACTGAGTTCCTTACCTTCTCTCTGCGGACCTGTATTCACAATCTCAGTTTCTCACGACCATAGGTGAGAGTAGGAACAAGATCAGTCAGTAAATCGACAGCTTCATTTTCATACTCGGCTTTCTCTTTACCACAACAGACCAGTTTGGCATTCGTATCACTGCTTATATCGCACCAATCCACATGTCACTCTCCCCTAACTGGTGAACAAGACCCCAGGATACCTAAACTCCTCCACTTGAGACAACAAATCATTCCCAACCTGGAGTGGGCACTCTACCCTTTTTCAGCTGAGAACCACAGCCTCACACTTGGAGGCACTAATTCTTAACCCAGCCACTTCACATTCAGCTAAAAACTGCCCCATTGTAAGCTGGAGGTCATGGCTTGATGAATTCATCAGAACCACGTCATTTGCTAAAGCACTGTTGCCTTACAGTTCGACTCCACCATCTGGCTTTTCTGTGTGGTGTTTGCATGTTCGCCACATGTTTGTGTGGATTCTTTTTGGGTACTTGGGCTTTTTCCCGTAGTCCAAAGACATACAATTAGTGGGGTTTGGTTAATCTGTGATTTTATTTTGCCATAGTTGTGAATGTAAGTGTGCATCATTGTATGTCTATCTGTGTTAGACCTGCGTCAGATTGGCGACCTGTCCAGGTCGTACTCGCCTCTCCCCCTGTTGTAGCTGGGATAGGCTCCTTGATAAAGATAAGCAGAACAGAATGGACAGATTGATAAACTGATTTGCATATCATTGAGTGAGATAAGCATTATTGGTATGTTTTTGGTCATTGTAATTCTGGAAGACCCATCCAAGATCCATCTTCAGTGTTCTGGCTGAGGGAAGAAGGTTCTTGTCCAGATCTATGGACCCATCTATGGCCCCTCAAGGCGGAAAGTCATCCTGTGTCTTTAGCAGAAAAATAGCCACAAAACATAATGTTTCCACCTCCGTACTTGACTGAAATCAAACATCTAATTTTTATTTTGGCAGTCTCTTTCTCGTGTCCTTGTGCACCTCTGGATCACTTCTGCCAGGCTGCAATAAGTTCGTTCATAAAAACTCCACTCTGTACTTGTGCTGCTGCAGATTTCTCCACAGGGTTTCAGTGAAAGACCCACTGTTTTCCACCCAGTGCCAAGGAGCTGTATTATGGTTAATGCCTTCAGCTCATATTTCTCTGTGTAAAGCTCTTTACACTTAAATAGGTTTAATTGTAACTTTGTGTTTTTACAGGAAATATAGCTGCTGCAGTCCTACAAGAAGCTGTTGAGATGACAATCACTCCAGACGTCAGCAACAAGGAAGTCACAAATGCTGATACACAAGTGTGCACAGAGAAGGAGGAGCAGAAGACACTGAATACACTAGAAGAGAAAGCTGAGGTGAAGGTTGAAAGTCAAGTTAAACAAATGGATGATAATGAAAAAGACAAAGAGAATGAAAAAGAGGAGAGGAAGGAGAGCCTGCCGGAAGAGAGCCTGAGGATGGCGAGCTGGGTGGAGGTGGAGAACGAGAGGCTGGGCGCTGAGGAAAACAGTGAGGTGGAAGGGGCCCTGAATATGGAGGAGCTGAGGGACGGTGCCGAGGAGCAGGGGCTGCTGGAGGTAGAGGAGAGGTGCATGGAAGAGGCAGAGAAGGAGCAGACTCGTTCAGTGGAGGAGGAGCTGGCAATGATGGAGGAGAAATGGAGGGAGCAGTGCGCAATCAATGAGACACTCAAACAACGGCTGGCTGACGAGGAGGAGCGATTCAGAGTAAGACACAAAGACATAACCTTAAGATTAAGTAAAGCTCAGAAAGAATGTGATTGTGAGGGTGTTGGGTCTCATTCCACAGCAAAAAGTAACAGAAATGAGATATACTGGTTAAAATAAATACTGACAAAGTACAACTTTGAGGACATAATTTGCAGTATATTCACAATATACAGATTTCACTATACAATTTTAATAAATTCATACAAATTACAGAAACTGAGTTTATTCATATTTTTAGCATCAACAAAGGAGTGGTTGTAGTTTTACCTGCTAGACTTGCCTACATGTTCCAGCACCTTGAAGACTAGCTGTATACCGCCACATAGTGCCATGGGCACAAAAATGATACGCTTACAAAAACTGTAAAACCAAAACTGTCATATGCTCATGGCCTCAAGTCTTTCCAAATAAAACCTAGAATAAATTAGAAAAAACGAAGTATATAGTGCATTTTGGGACACTCCTGTATGTTATATATCTATAATCAGTGTATAACAAATTGTTAAAAATTGCAATAATATCATATCATGCGTAAAGTATTGTGATAATATCATATCGTGGGGATTTGTACCTCTACTATTGGTAGATTTTTTTCTTTCTTTCTTTTTTTTAATCTTCACTTAACATGCATGGCTCCCTCTGTGCTGCTTTCATTGTCAAATTCCGTTTAATGCTCTTTTATGCACAATCTACCATTAAAATGAAACACAGCTGCCTGAAAAACATTGTTGTACCACGGTCTGCTGTGCCATGCATAAACACTTTAATGTAATACCCAGTCATTCAAATGGAATTTGCTGAACCACAAAGCCTGAAGAACAACAAATGTCTAACTGCCCTACTACTTACAGTATGGACCTCACCTTCCAATGGGTGAGCCAGCATGTGTGGTATGTGTGCGTGATTCAGTAGAGACCTTGCATTTTGAATGTGAACCTCCACTAAAGTACCAAATAGCATTTAATCTCCATGAGTGAGTGTGTGTTTATCGGCGCTGTAAATACGGCTCTCCCTCAACTTTGATAGAGTCTCCTGTCTGGGGTGAGCACCCCGGGTCCCAAGCTGCTCTTAATGGCCCCGGAGACTGACAAGCGAGGCAGCCGCAGAGCGGCATGCTTTACGGCTGTTTACATCAGCCACCCAGAGGAAGAAGAGAGGGAGAGGAATAGGATGAAGTGTGTGGGGGGGTGCATAGTACTACATTGCTGCGGACTCCCTTCACCTGAACTTAACCTTCTAATGCCGTGCCGTAAATTTATGATAGAAGGAAAACGCGAGAGAGGACAAAAGGAGATGAAAGAGAACAAGTGGGGGAAGCAAAAGAAGCGAACAAAATTTAAGAGAGAAAAAATTGGGATAGACAGATGGACATGAAGCAGAAAGAGAAACCATGGGAAGGGAGGGAATCTGGAACCTTTGAAATGGGGTGAAATTAGAGAAGACGGGCAACGGGCCATGTAAACTATCCCACAGGGTCAGTTCTGTTAGAGGCTAAGAGATTTACTACGATCCCCTGGTCCGCTTCAGCTTTATGTTATGTTATGTGTTTTATAGCAAGGCCCACACATCTGAGGCTGCACCAGGTGAAATTAAAACCAAATATTTTCACTTACCTGGTTGTATGAAGGCTGATTTTGGTCTTCTCAAGTTGGCACAAAATAAAAGCAACAAGTAAAGAGGTTATTATCAACTAAAAGCTGTATGAATTGTATGAATAAAAATACTGGTGGCCACCAATGCTATTCCATAGCCTAATACTAGATAAGAGCACCTATGGTATCAATTTTAAAAAATCCTAGGCCACATCGGCCTCAAGTTAATGCCTAGACAGCATTTTCAAAAAACTTGACCTCTGATCGTGACTTTGAGGTCAAGATCAAAATCGTTCAAACTGGTCTGAGATTTTCAGTAGATGCACCTGTGGTATGAATTTGAAAATCCTATATTGTATCGTTCTTAAGTCATCATGTTCACAAACTTGGGTGTCCATGCTACCCCCGCCCGGTGGCGTGATGAAAATACTCCTGAGCTGTACAGCCGTTCAGTGGTATTGTGCAACTAAGGGGAAAAAAGTTGAAGTTTATTAGTTAAAAACTATGGTTGCCAATTAAAATTATTGGCTAACCATACAGATTGGCAGTTAGAATAAAAATAAAAGTTTTAGAAAAACTGATAAAATTGTTACAACTAAACAAAAACAAATGCTATCAACACATAATAGATTAAACGAGCTGTTATTAAATTGAGCCACAGCTAAACGTTGAGGATGAAATTGCTAATCTGAAAATAATTGGTAAGAGTAAAGTGTAGGCAAATCCTGGTTTTAAATGAGTTTAAGATAATACAGTTGAACATGAGTGGAGCTGTTGATAAAGGGATTCTTGAGCCCATCTTACAGGTCTGTACGTCAAATGAAAAAAAAAATGCTGTGCTGTGAGTTGATTGTCTTTATCTATTTCACTAGGTCCAAATGGCAGAGAGAGCCAGCGAGGTCACCGAACTGAAACGCAACCTTGCCCAGGCTCTCAGAGACAAAGAGCAGTTACAGGAGGTAAAGATGCCACCACCAGTGTTCTCTAAATGAATTTCAATGCAACATTGTTGCTTTAACAGCAACTCAGCACTTTCATTCAGGTTTTCCACTTGTCTGCACATAAATTGTGGCCATATAGGCCTGAATTAAACTAGTTGTTATGTTATGTTATGTTATGTTATGTTATGTTATGTTATGTTATGTTATGTTATGTTATGT